TCCTCACAGTTCCAAGGCAGAAAAGAGTGCTTGCGGTCACTCATAGACCAGAGACCAGGCCAGGAAAGGAGTAAACACCTCGCCCTTGATCATAGCACCTTGGAAGAACTGAAAATTTACAGGTCCCTAGAAGTATCTCTGAAAACAGCTGCACAAACCCCCTGAAGCTTGAGACAGTACATTCTACATGCTAGAAACAAGACTCCTACCTTAACAGTTTATAACTCAAGTACCTAGCCAGGACCATGAGCAAGCAGCACAAAAAGAGTCAGACTATATTATCTTACTTTGGTGACAAAGAAGATCAAAACACACAACCAGAAGAAGACAATGAGGCCAAAGCTCCTACATCCAAAGCCTCCAAGAAAAATGTGAATTGGTCCCAGGCCATGGAAGAGATCAAAAATGATTCTGAGAAGCAAGTAAGAAAAGTAGAGGAAAAACTGAGAGTGATGCTAAAGGAGACACAAAAAAATACTGAAGAAAATAACATCTTAAAAAATAGCCTAACCCAAATGGCAAAAGAGGTCCAAAAAGCCAATGAGGAGAAGAATGCCCTAAAAGCAAATGCCAAATGGAAAATGCCTAAAAAGCAAATTCAGCCAAATGGAAAAAGAAGTCCAAAAGCTTACTGAAGAAAGTACTTCCTTAAAAATTAGAATGGAGAAATTGGAAGCTAGTGACTTTATGAGAAAGGAAGACACTGTAAAACAAATCCAAAAGAATGAAAAATTAGAAAACCATGTGAAATATCTCATTGGAAAAACAACTGACCTGGAAAATAGATTCAGGAGAGAAATTAAAAAATTATTGGACTATCTGAAAGCCATGATTAAAAAAAGAGCCTAGACATCATCTTTCAAGAAATTATCAAGGAAAACTGCCCTGATATTTTAGAACCAGAGGGCAAAATAGAAATTGGAAGAATCCACCAATCTCCTCCTGAAAGAGATCCCCAAAGGAAAACTCCTAGGAATATTTTAGCTAAATTCCAGAGTTCCCAGGTCAAGGAGAAAATATTACAAGCAGCCAGAAAGAAACAATTCAAGTATTGTGAAAACACAATCAGGCTAATACAAGATGTAGCAGCTTCTACATTAAGGAACCACAGGGCATGAAATATAATACTCAGGAGGGCAAAGGAGATAGGATTACAACCAAGAATCACCTAACCAGCAAAACTGAGTATAATCCTTCTGGGGAAAAAATGGTCATTCAGTGAAATAGAGGACTTTCAAGCATTCTTGATGAACAGACCAGAGCCGAATAGAACATTTGACTTTCAAATACTAGGCTCAAGTGGAACATGAAGAGGTAAACAAGAAAGAGAAATCATAAGAGATTTATTAAGGTTGAACTGTTTACATTCCTGCATGGAAAGATGATATTTATAACTCATGAGACCTTTGTCAGTATTAGGGTAGTTGGAGGAAAAAAATTATATGTAGATAGATAGATAGATAGATAGATAGATAGATAGATAGATAGAGGGCACAGAGTGAGTTGAAGATGAAGGGGTAATATCTGGAGAATAAAAATAAGAGGTGAGAGAAGATTATACTGGCAGTAGGAGAAAAGGAGAAGTATAACAGGGTAAATTATCTCACAAAAAACAGAAAAGAAAAATCTCTTACAGTGGATGGGAAACAGGGGAAGGTGAGAGGGAATGAGTGAATAGCATTCTCATAGGATTTGGCTTAAGGAGGGAATAACATAAACATCAAGCATGAAAAGCTTTCTTACCCTACAGAAAAATAGGGGGAGAAGGGAACAAGAGAGCAGGGGGATGATAGAGAGGAGGGCAGATTGGGAAAGGGGTAATCAGAAGCAAACACTTCTGAGGAGGGACAAGGTCAAAAGAAAGAATAGAATAAATGGAGGGGGATAGGATTAAGGGAAATAGAGTTGATTTTTCACAACAAGACTACTATGGAAGTGTTTCGCATAACTGCACAGTTATAACCTATATTGAGTTGCTTGCCTTTTTAATGAGGGTGGGTGGGGAGGGAGGAAGGGAGAAAATTTGGAGCCCAAAGTTTTAAAAACACATATTTAAAAAAAAAAGTTTTCACATGCAATTGGGCAATAAGAAACAGGAAATGGTGTACAGAAATCTATCCTGACCTACAGTAAAGCAGAAGGGGAAGGGGATAAGAGAAGGGGGGGAGAGATAGAAAAGAGAGCAGACCAGGGAAGGGATACTCAGAATACATGCCATTGGGGTGGGGGAGGGACAAGATGGGGTGAAAACTTAGAACTCAAAATCTTGTGGAAGTAAATGTTGAAAACTAAAAATAAATATTTTTTTAAAAAAAAGAGGTCCAGAAATGTTTTGAGTAATGGCAAGATGATGGAACAGGTGAATAAACCTCAAGATGACTACTTGGAAAAAAAATTGATGAAACTGAGGGTGAAAGAGGTTATATTACGTGCACAAGGTTAAAACAAGTAGTAAGTGGAAGAGCCAGGATTATGAACTCAAATCACCTTATTCTAAATCCATGCCTCTTTCTACTGTACTGATCTGCCTCCAGTTTAGATTTGTCTTAAGTCACACACATAATTAGTCCCACTTTTGTTCTATCTTGCACTGTTGCTCTTGACCCAAACATTTTTCTCCATCATCTCCATCAATCTACATTCCCATATTTCCTTCAAAGGCAAAATTCTCTAACCTTCCCCAAAGAGGTTTCCCATGGATAATTCCTTTGCATATTGCCCTGTCCTTTACATTCTCTCAGCAACCAAGGACATAGTCTCTATCATACTTTCATATACTCGCTTACATCTTGCCTTGAAGATTTTCTGTAATGTTTGTATATATTTGTATATGTTCATTCCTTATTTTCCTTCTAGAATTTATGTTTCTTCAGGGAAGAAAGTATGTGAATTCATTGCAATTCAACTAACACTGTATGCAAGCACTGGGTTGAGACTCCAAATTATGAACAGATTTTTGTGTTCAATATTAGTTGAACAAAGGAAGGTTTGAATAAATGAAAAAAATATATGAAATATGGAAAACAAGATAATCTTATTTGATCTAGTTCACTTTCAAATTGCTTTAAGATTAATGTCATTTTCAAGAATATATTTACAGGGGCAGTGAGGTGGCTCAATAGATAAAGCTCTGGCCTTGGAGTCAGGAGAACCTGAGTTCAAATCTGGCCTTAGACACATAATGCTTACTAGCTGTGTGACCCTGGGCAAGTCACTTAACCCCATTGCCTAGGCAACAAAAAAAATTTATATATTTACAACTATTAGTCTCATTCAACAAAAAAATAGAATGTTAAAAAGCAGAACTGATAGACATTTTTTCATTGTACTTGAATAACTCATGAAGTAAAAATTATTAAAATAGTAGAAAAAAATCAGAGCTAAGTATACTTTAACATAGTCTAGTAAGCCTTAAAATATATACATATTGTTTTTAACCTGTGATTTAACCTGCCAAGGAACCATACTATTTGTGTACATTGGAGATGCTACAGTCCCTGGTTGTTTCTAGCAGTTTTTTTGGCTCAGAGTTAAAAGATGCTTGTGCTTTGAGTTGATGACACAATATGTTCTTTGGCCATTGGGTAGAAAGTTTTGGCAGTACAGTAAGACTATAAAAGAATAGACTTTGCCCTTGGATCTCTCTTCCTTCTACTCTCCTCTGTGACAAATAACTCTCTTTCACTGAACTTTTTATGAGGGAGTGGTAAAGAATGGTAGCTTTTCTGACACCCAAGAGAGTAGGGTGACTGTAACTGCCTAGCAGAATGAACAAAAGACTCAAGAAAGTAAGCCCGACCCTGTTTTTGCAATACCTTTTTCATTTTGTGTTTCTTTCCTGAGTGTCAAAACAATCCCAAGATCAATAAGTCTAGGAAGTGACGGGAGTGCCTGAAAGGTCCAGAAGTTCTGGGACAATTGGATGGACCTAACAAGTAGCAGGGGAATTGCCTTCTTCAGAGAAGACAGCTACCAACCAAAAGAAGAGACCAAACATTGGCTTGACTGGATGGGACACATGGACTATGAGGGAATTTAGTGCTAAGATGAAATGGAATTGGGACTACTCAGTAGTCCTGCAAGCTGCTTGATATTCCAAAGAAGTTTAAGTATTAACCACCCAGGAAAGTATAACAATAGATATGGATTGTTATTAAATCCTGTTCTAAGGTTTTGTTTTGCCCCTGTGCATTTGAGTTTATTATGTTTAGAATTTCTTTTCTCAAATTATAATTGTATGGAATGCTGAAAACTAAAAATAAATTAATAATTATCAAGAAAAAAAGAATTTATTTTCTCTGTAGGAAATAAACATCTGTAATATATTTAATTATTATTGCATATTACAAGCTGTTCTACTCACCTCTACCTTTTTGGTGAGATTTTAGTCCTGAGTCAAAATTTAGTTAAGTCATATTGATTGTAGTGACTCAAAGGCCTAACCCAGGAGTGGAGAACCTGCAGTCTCAAGGCCACATGCGACCCTTTAGGTACTCAAGTGCAGTCCTTTTGACTGATTCCAAACTTGAGGACCCAGAAGACCGCATGAGGCCTCGAGGCTGCAGGTTCCCCACCCCTGAACCTCTCTCGTTAGGTCAGATTTCTCCAGGCTTGAACCTGTTTCATAGTACTTGCCTAAACCTCAAAAGGATACCTCAGAAATTGAGACTCAGGGTGCAGTGACCCTGGCTTTAGGACAGAGCAATAATTTTAATTGTTAGATATATGTCAAGTAAATATAATTCAATAAGATATCAAGGAATATATTTTTATACAGATTGTAATTATTTTTTACCTAAATTTAAGCTTAGAATAATAGATCAAAGTATAGACTCTGTGTCTCATGTATAGATATTCATTCCAATAAATTTTCAAACTAGTATGGATACAAATAGAAATAATAATTTTAAATCAGAAATTATCAATCAATCATGTGTTAGAATTAAAAGAGATCTAATTGGAGTTCCATATCACTAAACATAAAAACAATAAAAACTTACATGCTTTGTGAAATTTCTGTTTAACATCACGGATTGTAGATGTTGGAGACACCTGAAAATTTAAAAAAACAGGTAGAAATCAATTTTTACTAAATGTTCTTGATATTTACTTAGTTTGGACAAGAATGGCTAATATCTTAGTGACTTCAACATTGGGACAAAGTCAATGTTTTATAAGCATTATTTTAGTACGCTAGCAGGGCTCTTAGAAAAGACCTAACTAAATGACCACTTTCTTCTAAATCAAGATCATTTAGCATTTCTCTCAATTTCATCATTAATTAGTATAGAGCGGACTGTTTACCAGATTCTGACTACTAGATGTAGTTTTGTATATTTTTTTTTACATGTTAAGTTCCCATTTTGTCTTATTTTTAGAATGTGTAAGGCAGATTGCAATCAGGGCCAGTGTTGCAATTCAAAAGTGTGCAGAGGTATAGAAGTAATAGTGTCTATGGATGAATGGGATCTGTATTCCCTTAAACTGTTTCGTGACTAGGAGCAAGTCATCCGGATAATTATAATCTATTTCTATTCTATATGGTGTGCATGATGATTGTTAAGTGGATATGTCCCAAGGAAAACATTTATTACTAATACAATGTTGGCTTTTGGTTCCTTGGAGGAAAGATAATGCAGTGAAACATTATTATAGAGTCTAGTTATTTTCTAATTTTTAAATTTTTTTTTAATTTCACACTTATACATTAAATAATAAGGGAGAAACAAATACTAAAACTAAAATAATACAAAATAAGGGGGGAAAAGTATAGCCACATGTACAGCAGAATGTGAGATTTAAAATATGCAGCAATATAAATTTAAAATAAATTTAAAATATATGGCAATAAATTTCCATTTCAAGAAAATCTATATAATAAATAGTATGGGTTATTTTGAGAGGTGTCCATCTTTTCTTTGCTTCCTTGTAAATTTTCTTTTGTTCTCTGCTGTGCACCTTTTATTTTGTTCTTTTTTCCCCTTCCTTCTCCAGCCTGAAGGCTATCATTGAGCATGGATACGCACACACACACACACACACACACACACACACACACACAGAGTGTACTTATACATACACATGCATACATACATGCATGCATATATAGACATATACACATAAACACACATACACCTGTACATATATATACACTTACACATACATATACTTAGGTATCAATAATCATAGCCAGATATAGACATATATGTGTGTGTATATATATATATATATATATATATATATTCATATATTTATATGCATCTAAGACGATAATATACTTATTTATCCTCTATTTCTTCATAAGTCCAAGTGTTTCCATATTTTTGCAAGTTGACTAACTCATCATTTCCTGCACCACATGCATGAAAGATAAATAGTGTGTCCTTATTGAGTCCCTTGTGATTAGTCTTTGGTAGGTACCTTATACTTCTCTTAGCTTTTGTATGTCAAATCTTCTATCAAGTTCGGGAGTTGTTATTGTTGTTGTTGTTTTTCAACAAAACCCTGAAGGTCTGACAATTTATTAAATATCCTTTTATTTTCATTCAGGATTATGCTTAGCTTTACTGAGTTTGATAGTTTCTTCTGGAACCCCAGTTCTGCTTTTTGATATATATAATGTCCCAAGAACTGCAGTCACTTAGTGTCACCACTGCTAGGTCTTGGTGTGATTCTAATTGTGGAACCACCATAGTGAAATTATTTTTTTCTTGTTGCTCATAATATTTTATCCTTAATCTGAGGGTTTCAGAATTTGACTATGATATTTTGGTGCATTTTCCTTATAGAATCTCTCTCAGGTGATGATAGGTGATCTTTTTTTTATGTCTACTTTTACTTTTTTGTTCTAATGTTTTACAGCAATTTTCTTTAATTATTTCTTGTATTAGTTCCTCAACATTATTTTTTTGATAATAGCTTTCAGGTTGTCCAATCATTCTTCTATTTCCTCTACTTGATCTGTTTTCAAGATCAGTTGTTTTTCTTATGAGATGTTTCACATGCTCTTCTATTTTTTTAAGTCTTTATTTTTGTTTTATTATTTCTTCATCTCTTACAACTTTCTTAGCTTCCTCTTACCCAATTCTGATTTGCAAACACTCATTTTCTTCCTTCTGATTCTGGATCTCCTCTTCTAATTGATTGACATTCTTTTCATAATCTTGTTTTTTCTTGGATTATTCTTTTTCTAAAAAATATTTTTCTCGATCTCTCTCATCTGATTTTTAAAGGCTTTTTAAAAGTTTTTCTATTAATTCTTTTTGGGCAGGTGACCATTTGACTTTACTCTTTGGGGTGGGGGTTTCTTTGCTTTAGTATCCTCCTTTGAAAGTGAACCCTGTCTTTTCTATTCCCATAGTGATTCTCTATGGTTGGATTCTTTCTCCTTTGGTTGTTCATTTAGTATTATTATTATTATTTTATTTTTAGGAGTTTAGTTTTTTATTATCACCTCTAGCCCTGGGGTATGGGAGATGATGCTTCTGGCCTGGGACCCTCCTTCAGTTCTCCCCTCTGGCCTGTGGAACCAAAACCAAGACCTCCAGTTTCCTGCAAGTACCCACAGCCAGTGATGTCTCTGCGCCACTGCTTTTGCACTCACAGGATGTATGCTGATTCCTTCTTACCCCCGGCTATAGTTCCGCAGCAGAGCTGGGTCTGGAGTTCTTTGTTGGCAAGGGTTCCCTCAATCTTCCCTGGCTCAGATGCCCCAGTTCCCTCACCGTCCCAGGGGTAAAAGTTCCTGTGGCTGGGGCTAAGGCAGTCTTCCACCCCAGCTAACCCCTGCGCTTGCCACTTGTTATTTAAAGGGACCTAACCTGGAGGGATTTACTCTTCACAGGGACCAAACTTGTCCTAGGATTTTTCTTCACATTTTCTCTGATTGTGCCAGCAGGACCACTGCTGTGCCTCTACTCTAATTTCTTTTTATGCTTTATGTTCATCCTGAGGTGCTATTACTATTTCTGTGTTCACTCTGAAATGCTATCATTATCTCATTTGTGGGAGAAACTTGGAGCGCTCAGAATTTTTTGACCTACTGCACCATCTTCCCCAGAATTCTCTCAAGTCTGGTTGCTTTCAGCAGTTTTTCCTGAACCTTAGACTATGCTATTTGTTTGTTTGTTTTCATCAAAGCTGTTTTCCATAGAAAACAAATAAGACGACCGATTAAATACAGATTAGAATAGGTTGCATGTATTTGGGTTGCAACCTACCTAAGTTACATCAATATCTTTAAAAAATTGATTGCATCATAATCCATTATTTTTATTGAATAAATAAGATCAATGAATATGTGTTTCATTTGGCAGCTTTTACCTAGTTTCTCTGGGATACATTTGTTACTTGATGAATGGCAATGAGAAGAATTTGAAGTGATGAATTAGGTAAAAACAATATGATATCCCCATTAGGGTATGTTTTGGAGAAAAGCAACATTGAATAATAACTCATAAATCTTTGACCACTCAAAATGCTTTAAAACTGAATGCCATTTTTTTTCCTATGAGAATAAAGTTGGGTTGAAACAAGGTAATTCTCATAAAAGTATAATGTGCTTGTATTAACTAATATATTTGTAAATATCAAACATTGCATTTTATTCTTAATAGCAATTTAAGGATAGAAAATTTGAAACCATGATGATAGATTATGACATTTATTTTAATCTTTTTTTAATAAATGTTAATTGTACAATATAGATGATATTTTTGCTGTTTCCACATTATTTTTATCATGGATTTGGATTGAAATGCTGTGAAATCTTAGGAGAGAAGAATGAAATATTGAACTCATATTAAGTTTTCAAAGGGAAAATCTCCTAAGAATGAAAAAAGTGGTGTTCATTTGTGTACCCATTTTTATAATCGTTTAAAAATAACCAGTGGATAAAATTGTTCTATTTAAGGGATTTAACTAAAAGGTTTCCTTTTTAGGTCACCAATAAATAACTATCATTTGGTCCTTGTGAACAGGTTTGATAATCTCAAGGCAAATTCTAGGTGTCTGGTATCTAAATCAGAAAGTGCCCACTTCTGCAATTTACAATTTTCAAGACCATCAGAATAGAAATATTGACAATTCCTCAATTGTACTGTACCATACACACACACACACACACACACACACACACACACGTCCCTTTTGGCTTCACAGGAGTCACTGCTTAATTAAAACAGTAGATAACATTAAACTGCGGAAATCTAGGCTGTGTCTATCAATTTTCAATCATCTTTGCCTTACTACTACCTCTATCCTTCACCTTTCCCCTCACTCCATTTTTAAATTGTTAGAGATGAAAGATATTGATTTTTTAAAAATTAACTTTGATTAATAAAATCCTTTTATACATTGTTTTAATAGTATTTCTAAATGGTATTCTACACTTCCCAACTGCCCATGTGGGAGAAATATATCACAACAAAATTGAAATTACACTTAATTTGAATAGCTAACCTCATGTTAATACGTGATGTTTAGAATTGTCAAAATAAGCATGTAAAAACATGTAAAAACAGAGGCTCTGAGACCGTTGGAGAGTTTGGGTGAAAACAGAGACTATAACTCAACTAAAATTAACTCCACTAATTTAGACTCAGAGTCATTTTCATTTTATGAAAAGTGGGTCTTTTAGGGGGACACCATTTTACAGTGGACAGAGTTATGAATTTTGACTCAGAAGACCTGAGTTCAAATCATGCATCTGCCATTTAATATTTTGTGACCTTGAGTGAGTCATTTGTTCTCTAGGCCTACTTCCTCATATGGAATGAGGAAGATAGAGTAAATAAGGCTGAGCATTTTTTTCTGTCAGGATTTTGCTAGATCCAGCTAAAAGCTCCTCTTGAGAATTGACTCAAAAATTTGTGTGAACATTTGCACCTTAAGAATCAGCCAAAACTCTATAAAAAGTGCTTGATTTATAATTAATTGTGCAGACTTAAGAAAGTCTTACAATCATTCACAAGGTCCATGTTTTCACTATTAAGAAAGGAGAAAATGAAAATCACTCTTCCTAAAAAATACCTTGAACTTTGCTGCCTTTCTAT